AAAGATAGACCAGAATAGAGAGAAATATTGCACGCCCCTCGTTAATGCGTTGACGCCTTCGTTGTGCTTTGTCGCTCCTGTTGCGTAATACGACCCGAATACATATCGGCATTGCGACGTGCTCACTCAACCCTCCTGTAACTTCTCTCACGCTCGTGACTTATGTCCTTAGTAAACAGAACCATTCTCACCCTTACAAATGCGCCCTTCTACACCCTCGCTTTAGAACATTTCCACTCGTGATTTCAGAGAATTCAAAGCATCTCTTGCGGTGATTGTTGTTAGAGGGTTTAGAAAAAAAAAATGACGCCATGTCTGTCTACCACTGACACTCTCCACTAATGATATTAGAATTATCTACCCTTATATTTCAATTACAGATTCTATATTGAAAGGATTATTAATGTAAATTTGAGTCTTTATTGCTTTCTTTTCTTTTTAATTCAATATTTTCTTTTATTCTTTTTTTATTTTAAATTTAGAAGTGTTTTAATTAAAGTGCTTTAAAATGACGTCATCTATTTGATTAACATTGTAATCACTTTTTAGATACTTGAAAGTGTTTACATTAAAACACTACGATTTGCAGTGTATAAAAAAAGTTTCTTTCATAAAGTTGATGCCGATTTAATTTTAAACTTTCGAAGATATTTTAGTGATAATTAATATCATTATCAAACCATTTAATTCACAAATTAATTTTATTATTAATCCTAGCAAAAAATATTGGGGTGTCTGACTATTATCAGGGTATTATCACACTTGGTAAAATTATACCATATTACAGTATTTAATGTAAGGTTTCAAGTAAAAATTACATTAAAATGCTCTTTTAGGGTGAACCATATTGGCTAGATCATATCTGGATAATTATATTTATTAATTTCATTTTTTTATCAAAATTTTTTATCCAACTCAAGAAGATATTTATCATGAAAAGAGAAATAAAAAATAGTTGATAGTATTAACCAATTTATAATTTGTAACTACATAAAAGTCAACAATGCCACGATTTCATTCCTATAGAGCAAACTACCCCAAACTGATTCAGATTATCAAACTAATCAGTATTAGTTCCTACATTTCATGACGTTGCATTCTTGATAAGTACTTTAGAAACTCTTTGACGTCTCTCAAACTGCTTTTAATTTCGTCCTGACTATTTACTTTTTCAAAACCTAATCTTATTCATTTTTATGTCTCTAAATTTATTTAATTTTATTCTAACATAGATATTAATTTTATACAGATTTAATATCAAAATAGCTTACTATTAGACTTATTCAAAATGTCAACTGTTTATAAATATTTTTCCTTTTTTTTAATATCCGATCGAATAATACTCCACAGATTGTCAGCATTTCCTGGGTGCTGATCCCGGAATATCTTGGTGAAAAAGACATATCCGATCGTTTATAAGCACCTCACAACCCTGAATAACCATATCCCATTGACATGAGTAGAAATGAATAGACGAGAAAAAAAAGAATAAAGTGTAAAATATAAAAGGTATAACTACAATACTATGAAACTTCTGGGAGGTTTTTCATTGGTAGTATAATGCCATTGGGTTCTTGAGGCTTAATAAAAATGCCAGGGACACAGGAAATGTAATTCCATGGCAATAGGGTAGTGCAAACGCGGTTAAAAGGCAAACGAAATGACCGAACCTCCCTGTATTGCAACACTTTTCGTCTGTGTATGCACCTGTGTGCGAATGTAAATGAGACGTATTAAAGCCAACGACATAACCCCAGGGATTGACTCTCATATGTCCCTGTACTACACATGAGAGTTATAGAAGCCGAGTAAAAAGCGCTAACGCATACTCGCCTCTAAAATGTGTCATAAAAGTCGTAGAAGCGATAAAAAATATGTGGGTCGTTATAACGAATACTCACACAGTAGTTGCAGACACATAGTCTTGATGTAGTCATTCTAGCACGGCAATAAAAAATATATTTCTCTAAAGGTGCAGTAGTCTGGACGTTGGAACATAGAAAAAATATTGGACGACTATCAACATATGACTGACTGTGGTTAACTTAAAATTCAAAGGGAATATTTTATAATGTGCATGGGAAATTATTAAGTTATGACACTGACAATAACTCAAATTGTGGCTTTTTGATGACGAAATTATTTTATTTTTCACTCAGAGAGTATTTTCAAAGATAGAATAATGGTTATTGCTGATAATAAACAGAAGAAAATCAGTTAAAATATTTGTAATTATTATACTTATTTGTTGTTGGTATTTAAATAGTTTTTTTCGAGGGATGTATTAATTTTGGAGCTCATTGAAATGTAAAGAACAATATTTGAATCAATAAAATATAAAAATCACTGATGGTATTTTGATAAATATTTCGAATTTTTTTTTTAACAATTTTCTATTCTTTTTTCTTTTTAACTCTTACCCATCAATTTCCTGCTCTTTTCATCTCTTCTCATACTGCGTTTCGTTTTGCTTCTGCATTCATCCGCTTCCGTTTTAGAGAAAAAAAATTGGCAAGAATCACGATAAATAGTGAGCAAAAAAATAGAAAGATTGGAATTTGCGAGTATTGATCGACGATATATTTAGCTTTTTTTGCGCATGAACTCGTTTAATCGGTAAATGAATAATGAGTGGCTGAAATTCTCGGGTGCAGAACGATGCTGAAGAAGCATGTGAAAGGGAACGAAAGCAAATTGGAAAAGAGAGACAGACAAAAATGAAAATTATTGGAAACCGTAGGAAAAAGATGGGGAACGAGAGAAAAGAGTTAGATCGACTGCAAAACAACAAAATTAAATTATTCGTAGTGGTTAACGATATTTTCGATGCGTGAATTTTATGAATCTATACCTCTCTCGTATCGAATAAATATATTCCCACTTCTCTTACCACCAAAATGTATAGTCATTGAAATTTCACACCTCACTCGTAATTCTGTTCGAATGTAATTTCACTCTTTTGCTTTTGTGTATAATGGTGTGTATATACTGCAGCTTTTATTTCTCTTTTTCATCTCACGACTATTTTTTTGTTACTGTTTACACGATAAAATACGTCGTTGCGTTCAAAATGTTTATTTTTTGTATTTTCCCAGCCATGAAATGTTTTTCTTTATTAGATTTATACATTTTTGATGTTCTTTCCTTGCTTTTAATTCACTAAAAACAGTGTAATCGGAGAATTTATTAATAGAGAAAAATTGTTTTCTCGAAAGAAAAGGATTAAAACGCTCAAATACTAGAAGGATTAATTGTCTCAAGTTTTCCGTTTATAAGATATTTTAAAGTATAATTTTTAATGAGTTGAAGTAGTAGATACCAATTAACAATTTCAACTAAATCTAAATTTTTTATTATTATCTAGAATATTTTTAAGGACTAAAGCCTGCCATAGAGATAGTTCTAAAGACAGAAGAAGGACTGGAATTTTTTTTTAACTTCCAACAAGTTTGTACCTCCATAAAAATTTTCCTAAATTATTCCTTTCCATTTAATTCGTTGTCATTTTTTAAAATAATCTAAGCTTTAAACATGTAATTACTTGAATTATTCAAATGATCTTATAATGTTAAATTTAATCTAAATTACTTCCACATGAAATATAGTTATTTTGTATCAATCTACTCATTTCAGATAAGCGTATGGAAAAAGAAAAAAAATATTTTCATTGATAATAAATAATTTTACACGATTGGGGAAAAAATAGAATAATTTTTCTTCATTTACTGAATTCCAGCTATGAATTACAATCACGCTCGACTACTCTCCTGATTCTCTTTTTGCTCGATTTTTTCATTTCTCAATTTCACACCATCTCCTCGAACTGACACGTCGTGCCCGATTTACGATTTGACTAGGCTGACATTCGATTGGAAAAAATACGATGGAGGGTGTGAACAGAGAACATCGTCGTGCCAAAGGGATGGCTTTTAAATATTCAATAAACGCTGGCATTATTCTCGGCACGTCGTCGACGGCCAGGGTGAAACAGTATGAAAAAAAGAAGAAGCGTGAACGATAGCAGAAAACATGAGATAAAAGAAAAAGTGAAAAAAGGGTGAGCGAAAGCCTCCAAGAGGGAAAATCCAACTGGGGAACAGAGAAAGGCTGTGCGACAGCTATTTATCCCCTTGAATTACCTGCCAGAAACTCAGCCCTCATATTCTATAATTTGCTCTCAACCCCTATCTACCCCTTGTGCACTGTCGTTATTCTTTTCCTATAAACTTTCATCCCCTAATTTTCTTTTTATCGTTGTTTTTTTCTCTGCTGTCAAATCTAAGTTTTACAAAGTTTCCTCCTAACAAATCACATTTAATTTCTTTATCTTCAATTATTGTATTACACTTCAACTTTATACATACCTTTGGATTACATTTTATCTGAAGCTCGTGAAAATAATAAAAATATAATTGAAAAATAGTATTATCGTAGATGATAAATAGAGTAACCTTTATAAAAGAAACACGTTGCAACACGAAAGGCTCTAATCAATAGGACGATAAAGATCGGAAGTAATTTAACTCGACGCCATTTTTATTCTTTCTCTGCAGAGTCTCAAATTATAGTGCGGTGTGATCGCGTGAGCTGATCAAGCGTTTCTCTGCACGAAAACGCAAAGCTCGTTCGGATTAAGATCCTGTCGTGCTATTTGCATGTTATTACCTTGTTTACATATTTATTCAATAGACGCAAAGCAAAAGAACAAGCATTAAACCCCATAGTAAAACGTAAAATTATATCCTTATTTTGCTTTCAACTTTGTAGACTATATGCTAAATATTGCCATTACTTTTAATTAAATTCCTACGTACTTCTAATTTACAATTCATTTAAAACTTTAGTCAATTTTTTAAAATTTACCAAAGTCTCTTTTTCCACAATAAAATATTAAAATGTATCAAGTTGATGATTGATGAGTAATAAAGTGATAGATTAGAGCGACAAATGAAGTAGCATCTCAATAAATTGATAGATGAATCGTGACCTTTTAGTCTTACCTGTTTATGCATTTCCACATTGAGTCCATATGACATCTCGTAGTACTGAAAAAGAGAGATAAATCAAGTTATTAAAGATATTCCATCATTTTACACATTGACGTGTATGTATTTTAGTGTATTTGATTTGTCTGTTTTGTGTTTGTCGTGAAAATGCCGATGAAAATTTATGATTCATGCAAAGCGTGATTGATTAAATGCATGCTTCAGTTACTCAGGATGTGTCGTATATACACTATGGTAATGCATGCCAATTCCACTTTTCATCTTAAACGTATTGGATACTGAAATATCCATAAATGTATCATTTTGCCAGAGGGCGAAAGGAGGAGCTCAGGAATAACATAGCAGATATTTTGAAAGACAGAAAACCAATAAAAAAGTAAGAAGAATTTATATATAAGAGGTGTATTGGAATCCAAGACCGGTTTCTCGTGTAACATCTTTCCAACATGTATTACAAGCTACTATAATTCTACTTCTCAGCTAACAAGTCCTTTCAGGGCTCCACCACTTATAATGATAAGTGATCTAATATACCTTTGAGACGACTTTTCATGAGAAATTAAAGACACATTATTTTTATATCACGATATTTCACTACTTTGATTTCGACTGGCTGCTTTTTTAAATTAATCATCAAACTTACATTATTTTTTTTATTAATAATTAAATTTTTCAATAAAAATGGATGTTATTAACAGAGAGGAAAATTTAATTTATTGATTAAAATTCAAAATTGAAATTCCATTTAATTTTTTACTGGAATTTTTTTTTTTTTGAATTAAATTAAATAATAGATGGATTACTTTCGTGATATTTCCAATTAGACTTATAGAACTTAATAAATGGTACTTTCAACAATTTTATAAATAATTTCAATCATCCATATTCGTGATGAAAAATTGAATTTTTTATTACTGAAAAAATCTGATTGAATTTGAGCATAATAACTTGTCTTTTATTGATCCTAAAAGTGTTAACCATCTTAGCTCTTTTTCGCTATGAATAAAACATTTAACAAATCATTCTCGCGAAATTAAAACGCTTTAGTTAGTTATATCATTGACAGAAGAATGTTGAGAAGTAAAAGAGCAGTATTAATATAAAATAATAAACATTTCTGTTGACGGTTTTGCGAAAGCTAGAATTATATTGCGACCTCGGAGCACTAACCGACGAGGTTTTAACGAGCGTCCCGAATACCACAGTAGTCCTTCGTGTTATCCCTGCTACCAACGACTATTGTAAACGTCTTTTATGACAGTCGTAAAGAAAGCCAGGCAACACGCGATATATTCGCGAGCTTTATACATGACTTAAGTATTTTAACGCGCATCTCACGGTATAGAACGAATGAAAGTGTATACGTATATATAAGTATGAAGAGTAAAAGAAAATACGATAAACGATGGGTATAGTGACCATTTTAAACATATACCTATAAAACTGTTGGCTTTTATGTTTACGACTGTTCTTGGAAAAATATCGAAAATAGAGAATCTCTTTAGTTTTTATTAGTGAAAAAATGCGAATTACTATGTATAAAACATAAGAAAATTTATTTTTTTTCAAATATTTTTTACCCACAAGTTGATGTAATTTATTTTGTTATCTTGAATTTACGGTAATTTTTTAGCAACAGTGAAAAGTAAATTAGTTTACTTAGTTTCGACTTGTGCAGATTATCCGAGCTTTATTGGACGTATTTTTAAAGGAGTACAAAAAAAGGCGAATGGGAAAGTCAAAAAGAAAAAAATTGCAATCACTTAGGTTAAGTGCTAGCAAGTCTTTTCCTTCTTTATTGCCTTTGCTTCTCGTTTTTACTCAACACTCCAAGTTCTACACAGCGAGCACTTTTCGACAATCTGCTGGGCGATCGTAAAACTTCACGACCTCGACAATTACATGAGAGAGTCGTAAAGACGTAATGTCCCGTGAGAGGTTGGGTTTAGTCTGTTTAAGTCGAGTAGATACGCCAATGATATAACATTGAGGCCAGAATAAATCTCACCGTCTCTGTCTTTTCCTTTTATTTTTATTTTTTTCTTCTTTTTATTTGCAATTGAATATATACCCTATTCTAACATGAAAACGACTCTTTCGCTACAAATATATATGACGGTTGCTATTTGGCCAAAATGTGTGTATATGTAGTGTAGCAGTTATGGGAAAAATATCTGTAGATACGACGACAAGGTAAAGAACAGAAAGGAGAGAAATAGGAGATGTGATATGAAACAGAGTGGTAGATTGAGAGACGAGAGAGCAAATTTTCTGAACCAGGTCAAACTGTGCGGAAATGCTCGCTTGAGAATAAAAGGAAATACCACAGTATGTCCATTTGTTTTCCACTCACGCTTTCTCGAAACTGCAAAAGACCACTGAAGAGTGTAGTATCCAAGAGTTAAAAAGTACTGCTTGAAAAAGAGGTAGTCAAGTACTTGGAAATAGGGAAAAACTTTGAAATATCAAAGCAACATTGCAGAATGTTCTGCCAAGAACTATTTAGTGATTTTCAGATTATTCCATTTTTTCTCTGCTCAATTTCACTTCCATTTAAACTTGCAGAGTAACTATTTATTGGGCATTGGAATATTACTTTTATTATTTACGCTGCTCTTAATTTATCTTGAATTTCAATATTTTGTGGACTTTTTTAAACGAAGAAAAAAAACTGAGGCTAAGATTGATCATTTTAATTATTTTTAATGTCCTAGTTTTTTGCAAAATTTTGCAATTTGAAAATATAAAAAAGCCTTCTTACCAACAGACTTATGATAACTGTTTCGTTAATATTAGCCTTAGTTTTTTAAGACAAAGATGAAAAACATGTGACTGAAGAAAGAAAAAAAAATATGTGGATAAATATCGAAACTAAATAAATTCCGCAATGAAAAAAAAATTGAAACGTAAAAAAAAGCGCCCCTTATTGATTGACTCACCATAACGTAGTGGCGTTGCATCTCCGTCTTCTCCTGGGCGAGTTTCTCCAGCTCCAACTTAATACTGGACAGAACAAGCAGGAAATTGCACGTGTAAACTAATAGATATTTGTATGTGCGGAAAACATTCAAAAGCATTTAAATTAAAATATTATTAAAGGACTATCTAATTAAAAGTGTTTAATCATTTAATTAAATTATTTAATTGGATTCTGTATCATTATTGACTGCAATTAATTGCAAAAAATTGTCCAACATTTTAGAATAAACTTAATCACAGTTTTTCATTGGAAATAAAATAATTCGAAGACAGAAGTGAATTATTTATTGAGCTGTAAATAATTGTTGTGAAATAGATCAAAGTATTTGATAAATATTATTTTTATTATTCCAAATAATTGGATATTTTAAGTTATATTGTCTGTCTTCTGGAACTTGTAATATTAAACATGGCATGGGGTAGTTTTGTGCACAGCAAGCCGTTAAAACACACAATTAATGCAACCGCAGGAAACATCGATAATGATCGTCATGGCGGCCAGTGTCGTGCGGATTATAATTAATATGTATCTCTTTGTGTATTCTCTCTCACTCTCTCATTCTCTCATTTGATTATGTATCGTTCCCGCTTTCGCTCCTCTGGTTCACGATAGCACGAATTGATGTGCATGATTGAACTTGCATCGAGGCGTTTGTGTTTACTCATGAATATTATGCCGTGTGGTAGACCCGTGAAACTTGCATATTCTTCGTTATGATTATTAGCGTGCATTCAATGAGAATGTATGAATCATGTTGTTAATTTATGAGTTATTTAGTAAACTTTTTAATGAACTGTTAATTACAATATGTATTCCTTGAAATTGTATATGTGCAATTATAATGGCATATTAGTTTTTTTTTTATCTACAGATCTTTAGTTTCTCGTTTCTTAAAAAAATATTTCATGTTATTATTTTTTTGCAAGCAATAATTTATTTCTGAGATTAATTATGATTTCATGATTACAAATGGAATTCATATCGTTAACTTGATGTTAAATTACTCTGGAAATTATTGCTGTGATTTATTGTTGTATAAAAACAACAGAACTTTATTTTTTAAATGATTAGTTCATTTGATAAAAATGTGTATGACATAAAATAGAAAAATTTTATTTTACTTCAATGAATGTCAGTAAAATAAATATTGAAATTGTTTCTTTAATTGATGACTATTCAATAAAAACCGTTTAATTGGATGATAATAATTATTATTGATGGTGACAATAATCATAAATAAAATGAGAAACGAGAACTATTAATCTGATGATGTAGAACATGACTAAATTCTCCCTTATATTCTCTTCACGGGTGGCTTACCATCACGTAATGCCTCTGTATCTCAATTTTTTCACTGGCCAGTTTCTCGCACTCCAATTTAAGGCTGTACGGGCAATAAAAACATAATTAATGGAGGGAGAGATTGTAACGCGTATTAGGGAAACACAGGGCGCGAAAATGCCTATGTCGATACACTATACAATATAATACACTGCGATGAAAACTTGTATATGGCTTACTGTAAGACTCCCTAGGGAACTCCCACATAGACCGAAATATATATCATAAATTCCGTCTCCCACGTTTTACTGCGTCGTACTAAAATTCATACCGTCGTTGAAATACACCAATATATATCTACGTAAGAAACTTTATACTATCATTCCTTCTTGACTGCTCTCATATTCAAGTATCACTAATACTAATAAATTTCCTTCACAGCGAATTTACGACAAAGTGTTTGCTACGTACTTGCTGCTCCATTTCACGATACCTTGTCTAAATTAACTACTAAATTATTTTGCTATAAACTTTACATTAACTTTGAATATAATCATTATGTATCGTAAAAATAGCTATGATTTTACTTGTAAAACAACTCATTATTAGATGTAATTACACTTAATTTTTTTGTATGATTTATGACGAATACAAAAATTAATTCCTTATCCAGAATTAATTTATTGAAACAAATGTTTTTATTTTTCGAATTATGTAATGCAATAAAAAAAAATATAAATCACAAAGACATTGCATTTCAGGACAATTTTTTTACATTTTTATAATCAGAATAATTTTTAATTAAATTTTCAATTGAATTGCTGTTATGTTTCGGTATTTATTAAAATGATTGAATAAAAAAAAAGAATTCTAAATAATTTTTATCAATGTATTCTACCAAAAAAAAAATTTTCATCGTAGTGTATTATCAACCTATAATACCGATTTCATTACTTGTTGATCTGAAAAAAAATCTTATTCATAAAATATTGATAATAAAAGTTTTGAACATTTTCCACTGATAAAACAAAATACATCATTGATTATTTCTACAAAAGAAGCGGAGTATTTCAAAGCTTTTATCAGCCTTATTCCGAGCATCATCGATAACACCAATCGACGCTTATTGTGGGCCAGCTCAACTATAATACTATACAGATTATCTCGTGTTCAATGACAGTAAAAAAAACTTTGGCTCGATATCCGTAAACATAGATTCAAGCATGACAATCATCAAGCGGACCCAGAGCGCGGATCGATATCAATTTAATAGACAGTCTCGGATCGTTTAGCAGATACGAACAGCAGTGTAGTCCGGGCAATCCCCTGGGCTATATGTGCACATGCTGGCTTCTGTATGCATAGCTTCCGGTTGGACAAACAATTATATCCACTGGACAGACGGCCAGAACGTTTTGCCTGTTCATCCTCACATGGTATGTGTATGGCAAACAGTATTTTCTCGCTTTTATTTTATATTCTATCACCTTTTTCCATTTTTCTATACTTTTTCTCTTTTGCTCTAGAAGCGAAAAAGATTGCAGCCAATTTCCATTTAAATGCCATGAGGACTGCCTTGTCTCTACAACTGTGTAATAATTTGATATATCTGCACATAATAACAGCCAATCAATTATTACTTTTCTATGTTGATACTCTAAAAGTCTGATGATGTACAGATATAGCAGATTAAATAAAATTAAATTAACGAGTCATCGAGTTTTACTGATAAAAAATGACAAACATACATTTCATGGAGAATTATTAATTGAGAGAATCATTTTAGTTTATGTTATCTATTGTATCCAACTACCTCGATGATTTGTTAATATTTTTTTTTCAATTGTTTGCTAAATAGAGACTACATATAGAAGCTTTGGTAAAAGCTTACTTGTGATATTGAGCTTGTAAGAAGTTGAACTCCTCTTTAATACGATCACATGAATCAATAACTGTGAATTTAAATGGCTGCCCAGGTTGTGGAGGACCCTGAAAAAATAAAAATGAAGTTAATTTAGTAACAATTTTATTTTTTTTTATGTTATGTAAAGATAATCCAATCTCAAAGACTTTGATATCACTTGATCAAATAATCTAGTATAGCTTTTATATTATATATATATGACATATGGTATTACAAAGTATAATAAGCTAATATTTGTTTGAATAACTATCACTAAATTGCCATCAATTTCCTTTAACATGTTTTGTTCATTCCTTGAGTCAACTTAAATTCGTCACACGACATCGTAAATGTGCTTACCTTCCCGGTATCAACACGAAACTAGAGGACTAACTTGGTATTGGATAAACATGTTTAAGTGGAAATGTGGAACCTTACTCCAAAGTGAAGCTCCACAAAGTACACAGAGTGTGTGAGGAGTACAGTGGATTGTACTTGAACATGGGATTTTTGGATTTTACTATCCATTTAAGGCCATTTTCTAACATTTAAATACAAACTTGAGCTTGTTTGTTGAAGAATGTATTAGTTAAATAAATATTGAAATGTTTATCTCAATTGATTTACATTATAAAATATTTATTACAAAATATTTAAATCCTCTATTAGAATGAAACCAAAAAATGAGTAATTATTAAGAATTTTTATTGTAAGATTTATTTTTCATTCCGCGTTGACATGAAGATCACGTGATATTTTACTCAACTTTATTATCATTTAATGGGTGAGTATGGATTTAGTAAGATATCTAGCTGTTGCACGGACTATCTTTATATAAGTTTAAATTAAAAAGTTATTTTTGTAAATAAAAAATTTTAAAACCTCTGTAGACAAACTCATTAAAATTGTTATCAAATAATTTACTAGTTAAATTAAAAAGGATATTAGAAATCTTAACAATTTAAAAAAAGCTTCAATTCACTATTACAATCATTTTTTGTTATTACAATAAAATACTGCATATTTTAAAACATAAAAAAATATCTTAATTACGTGAAAATAATGGAAAAATAAACCTGTGCAATCACCATCGTTTGTAAAATCATTCTCGTAAATCGTATAATCTAGTTACGATTAAATGAAAATAAATATTTTTTACAGTTGAACGTAACAGTGTCGTAGTGAAATACAAAGAGAATTAAATTTGGAAAACAAATTTAAATACACGGATAAAAGGCTGACTCTTTTTGAATGACGACGACACTTGTATGTTATCTGTGAAAGTATATAGCAACACATATGGAACATCGATACGAGTATTCAAAGAGTTGCTGGATATTCAGTAAATGTATATATCGAGGTAGATATGTAGAATTGGTGAGACATTGGAATATCGGTAACTGCTGATCGGTAGAATCGCAGATCCCATTTGTCCGTAACAAAGCCGATCGCGCCAATCCAATTTATTTATTGGCTTTTGGCTGTGGCATAGAGGTGTAACGGCAACAAATACATGCAAGCGCGCGAACCGCGATATGCAATTATTTTATGCACCACCGTAACGCTATAGCTTGCGTGTTTGTGGTCGTACAACAAAGTAAGAGTGAAAGACATTCATTTTATACTACGACGGATACAACCCCACGGTGTAAACACGCTTGTGCAAGCAAAATAGCAAATAAAAGAACCAAAAAAAAGCCAAAACAATTGAAATTTAATTTCATGTCAAAAGTTATTTGAATATACGCACCAAGGTATATTCAAGCTATTGTAAATATATAAACGAAAGAGTAAACATCGAAACTCCATCGCGATTCAACGAATTGATTAAAAAAGCACGTAATAATATCTATCGATGAATTAATGAAAGATTAATATATGCGTAAATTGAACGATAATAATACATCAGCATAAGCGACCTTATCACCAACACATATGATCGTCATCGTCTATCTTTTAGAGTTCAGTTCGTAGGTACTATACATATCGTTAACAAGTTTTAATGATGAAAAATGTTAAACGGACCATTGAAGCATATAGAGACCAACTCCATAGAGCTTGCCATCAGTACCAATGAGTCGAATCGCCGCATATAAACGTCCGGATCAGTGGAAATGCGCCGAGTGACGTGACAAAATGATTTTCCGGCGGAAAAGCATTTCACTCGTTCACTCTTGTCTACCATCGCGCATTATAACTCGACGAATAATAATGAGTTCACAGCAATTCAAATGTCAATCAACGTAGCTCTCTTTCTCTTTTCAGTTCTCCTTTTTTCAATTTTTTCTCCCGCTGATCTCGAACCGTAATGTCATTTAGATTCGATAATTCGATCGAATCTGTACTCTCATCTAGACTCGTTCATTTTCTTTTTGTATTTTTTCTGACCTCCCACGTCGCCAACTCCATGTGCAAAATTTCCGATGCATTTTCTCCCACTATTTCATTACATCAACGAAGTAATCGGCAAAAATCGACACTCACATCCAACCCGATTATCAATGGATAAAATGCGAACGAAAGAACAGTTCACCGCCTCTCAATCACCAACTATTATCCTGGGGCTAATTCAATTATTCTGTTCTACCATTTTACTTTCAGTTATTCTTCTTTCCCTTCGTCATTCATTTCAATTTTATCCTATTGCACAGGGATAATAATGCATTTGCGCGATTCTGATTGGATTATTTTTAAAACCACGACGTTTTTAACGATTGAATGAAAATTTTTCATAACTCCATTTTGTTCGTAATTAAATTGTCATCTTTTGTGAAAACCGATAGTATAAATTTAGGAGTTATTTTAATTCATTCTTTTTTACTTTGCTCAAATAAAATCAATACATTCATATCTATTTTATCATTATTTTTCGTATTATTTAGAACTTATTAATTTATTAATCAACCTGTTTCTGATTCTCCTATTTATTTCCCTACTTTCAATATAAAAAAAAAAATTTCAATAAATTTTATTTATACGAGATATTATTAAAATCTATTTTATTTAAGCTAAGTATTATAGATACTGCTAACAATGGAATAAATGATAGTAAAAATAAAGGAAAGGATCAATTTTCTACTCCAATAAACCATTCGATTTCTTCATGAGAACTAATATAAAAAGATAAGCTTTTTAAAAGGATAATATCGCAGATCTTTTTGAGTATAAAATGTACTTATTTGCTATTTTCCAGATATTATTATTTTGTGATATTTTTCAAGAAAAATTTTCTCTATCTCAATTGGAATTTTTCGCTCCATTTAAACATTATTATCAGTCGATTATTGCTATGATCATCAGATAATTTTCCTACCAGTGAGAGGGTGTATATTTTTTTATTCATATAAGATTGAATTTCTCCAATTATACGTAGAAAACATGAAACACAAGCTTTTGACCCTAAACTAAATTAAAACTGAATTCAAAGTCAGTTCAATCTGCTTGAAGTCTTGGTTTGTCACTTTTCTCTTTACTTAGCATAACTTTGAAACTGCTATTCATATTAACAGAGGCTAAGTTTGAATGACGTAGCTGAAAAGCAGACTCATCTGACCGTGGTTTCACTGGACCACGAAAACCGCCGGCTGTGGCTTTGAACCGCGCATTGACCGCGCACAACACTCAACTCTCAGAGTACTAAAAGTCTCGTTTTCATATATGCGAGTTTCAGTCATTTTATTTTGCTATGTTTGTGATGAATCTTTATTGTTCTCTACAGCACTTTAATCTAATTTATTGGTGTCTTAATTAAATCTTACTAGTCTTGACAATGAATATTAAATATTTTTAGTCAAAATACTACCTTCTGATTTAACGTTGCTGGAAATTAATTTAATTTAATAGTGATGACACTAAGATCAAAAAATCAAACTAATTGTTATAAACAACTGGGAGACATTACAGAAATAACGAAGCAATCAATTAATAAAGACTAAGAAAAAAAAACTCCATAAATGTTGAAAAACAAAAAAGATACTTTGATTTTATCTAAATAAGATAAAATTAGCTAGACTCCAATGTATGTGATTTATTTGAAAGGATGTAATTGGGTGAAAAAGCAAGGTAAGTAAAGGGGAAGGTTATGGAGGTCATCCTTGATGACTTATGCAATTAATACGTAAAAGAAAAAATTAGGAAAGCACGCCTGACTGAACGAGCAAATAAAAGAGGCAACAGGCTCAGAAAAAATAGTTCGCTATAGTGAAGTTTCCTTTTGAACCGCTGCTTGAACTTCTTCTCTCAAGAGTCCAATCAATTCAAAAGTATTCATCAACTTCCTGCAAGTCGAAACTTGGTCTCCAAATTGATCCTAATTTGACATTATACTCGTAAAGCAGAGATATTTTTTCAACAGTATGTTTAGAATTCAAAATTGTTAAAAAAAATATTCAACTTCAATCATTTCAAAAATCTGGAGATAATTATTTTTGTCTACCATTTTCCTTTTAGCCTGCTTTCATTGAAATGATAAAAATACAAAGCACACCAAGGATTTGAATTCCAGAATACTGGTTTTTGATCCTTTCTATTAAAAATATTATTTGATAACAAAAATCAAGATAAAAAATTTTTCCGTATTTTCTTTTATGAGCTATCATCCACATGAATGACTACACTAAAGAGCATACAATGTAGAAAATGAGTGTTGATTTCCTCAACTGACATGTAGATAATGGATTATTTTTATAATTAGAATCGACTGGCCTTCGTTGTAAACTAATATCTATACATTTGCAAATTGAGCATGCATGAGGAGAGCATTTGCATAAGCAATGTATTTTGATTCGTACTTCATATTGCAAACATACAGAGAATGACATAAATTATGTACGGTATAATGACGAATAAATGCAAGGTGAGAAGCAAGAGAACTATACATAATGCACTTAGTGAATCCGCTTTACGAATAAGCCACTTCAGAATACATGATAGCGGTAAAATCAATATATTATGGGTCGATAAGAGATACGCTACATTTAAGAAGATCATTATTTATACACCTTTATCAGCATCATAAGATACCATTTTCAGTAACTGAATAAATACCCGTTATGGTCAATATTTACTCATTAGTTTAATTTTGAAA